TGTGTGTGTGTGAGAGAGAGAGAGAGAGAGAGAGAGAGAGAGAGAGAGAGAGAGAGAGAGAGAGAGAGAGAGAGAGAGCTTGGAGACATTTGGATCCAAACTCGACATTGGACTTCAGACATTTTGACAAGGGATTATTTGGGACTTGTAACGAGAATTGGTGTTGACGACTTTCCCACCTCTCCCCTCCTCTTCGTCTGATCCCCTCCTCTTCGTCTGTGCATGGCTGGACCTTGCGCCTTGACGACTTTCCCATCTCTCCCCTCCTCTTCGTTTGTGCATGGCTGAGACCTTACGCCTCTTCCTATGTATAGCGCCAGGCCCCTTCACACCTTGTGGTGAAAATGACGTATGTTTAGTCTGCAATGCGACATTGATTGGGCTCGTCATTAATATTCTAGCCTTCTGCTTCGCTATCTTGTACTACGTAAAAGAGGTCAGTCCCGGTCAGGTCAGGACTTGTATCTAAGTCTTCCACTGCGCTGTAAAGCACCATTTAGTATGTATCAGAGTGTACACTGCTCGTAGAGATTTCACTTGCACTGCATCGTCCATTCAGTCCTTTTCATCACATTGTGGATCCTTGGTTATTGTGTACATCGCCCAACTGGGCATGTAACACACACACACACACACACACACACACACACACACACACACACACACAAAGGGGGTCCGAAATCCCCCGACAGGTGAGTGCGTTGGGGGGGGCCAGCCCCAACCGGGTGCCCTGCCCGGCCAGGCCGCCCGGGACCTCCCCCGGGCCCCTGCCGGTCACCTGGGCGGCCCAAATCCCCACTCAGATTAGATCTACAAATAGAATTAGATTAAAAAACAAGAATAGAAAGGATAAGTCATATTTTTTTCTTATTTCTTCTTCCCACTATAGTAAGCCCAATAAAAAAAGATAATGACAGACCAAAGGTGACCACAAAATGATTTGTCACAAGATGGAGGAAGATAACGAGGAACGATAAAGAAGAAGGGGAGGAGGAAGGAAAAGGAAGAGGAGCAGGAAGGAGGAAAGGAGGGAGGAGGAAGGAGGAAGAGGAACAGGAACGATAAAGAAAGGGAGGAGGAAGGAGGAAGAAGAAGAAGAGGACGAAGGAGCAGGAGGAGGAAGAAGAGGACGAACGAGGAAGAGTAAGAGGAAGACAACGACGAACAATAAAGAAGCGGAGGAGGAAGGAGGAAGAAGAAGAAGAGGAAAGAGGGGAGAAGAGGAGGAAGGACGAGGATGAAGGAAAAGGAAGAGCAAGACGGAGGAAGGGAGGAAGGAGGAAGAAGAAGGTGAGGAGGAAGGAGGAAGGAGAAGAAGAAGAGGAGGGAGGAGGAAGAGGAAGAGGAAGGAAAACGAAGAGGAAGGAGGAAGAAGAAGGGGAGGAGGGAGGAAGAAGAAGAAGAGGAGGAAGGAGGAGGAAGGAGGAGGAAGGAGGAGGAAGGAGGTAGGAGGAGGAGGAGGGAGGATAAAGAAGAAGAAGAGGAACGATAAAGATAAAGGGGAGGAGGAAGAAGAGGAAGGAGGAGGAAGAGGAAGAAGAAGGGGAAGACAAAGAGGAACGATAAAGAAGAAGAAGATGAGGGAGGAAGGAGGAGGAACGATAAAGAAAAAGGGGACGGGGAAGAAGAGGAGGAAGGAGGAAGAGGAAGGAGAAGAAGGGGAAGAGGAAGAGGAACAATAAAGAAGAAGAAGACGAGGGAGGGAGGAGGAGGAAGGAGGAGGGAGGAGGAAGAGGAATCGTTCGAGGAAGGAGGAAGAGGAAGAAGAGGAGGAAGGAGGAGGAGGAAGAGGAAGAGGAAACATAAAGAAGAAGGGAAGAGGAACAATAAAGAAGAAGAAGACGAGGGAGGAAGGAGGAGGAGGAAGGAGGAGGGAGGAGGAAGAGGAAGAATAACGATAAAGAAGAAGGGGAGGAGCAAGGACGAAGAGGAACGATAAAGAAGGGGAGGAGGAAGGAGGAAGAGGAAGAAGAGGAGGAAGGAGGAGGAGGAGGAGGAAGAGGAAACATAAAGAAGAAGGGGAGGAGGGGGAGGAGGAAGAGGAGGAGGAGGAAGAAGAAGAAGAAGAGGAGGGGGAGGAGGAAGAGGAGGAGGAGGAAGAAGAAGAAGAAGAAGA